CATTAACATAATATTATTGCACTCCCTTTTCTTAGCCCAATTTACAATTGACACTCCAATAATAATTACCCGAATTACCTCTCTCATGTTTAAGATATAATGTCTATTAATTAACTCGACTACTAATTATCAGGAATTAACTAATTTATTATTATTTCACATAAGCAAGCGCTCGTTCATCACATTATTACTATGTCGGAATTTAATCCACCTGCAGGATTTAGCATAATAATCCTTCATGAACTTACTTCGGGGCCATCATCAAACCAAACGTACATGGTGACTGTAAGTATCCTAATAATACATGCAGTAATATTACCCAAGACAATATGAATATTAATTCAACGAACTGAACCTCACCCAAGTGAATCAAAATAATATATACTGCATATATATGTCTATTTAATATCTTACAAGTTAAGAGAATGCAGTAATTAACCGATGCCTAGTTCGCTTAAGACGATCATTATAAAAAGAACTTCTTCTCTCTGGGATCCTGTTCAATACAAAAATATACTAGCGCAACTAATCAGTCAAGACAAATTGTACTGTTGACACTACAACAGTTCAGATGTGGTGTTCATTTCTATCTAGGTTGTGAACCACAATTTCTTGTTTCACAAGTAACTGATAGAATGATGTTTGGTTCGCCCGATAAAGATCCATTCTATCTAAGTGAAAAATAACTGAACATATAACTTGTTTAATATAACATAATTCTGATTCATAAAAGATAAAAGTGTAATATCATCCAAAGTCGAGCTTTTAGTATATAACACTAACAAACATTAGCTTTTGAGATGAGTGGTGGTTTGGTGAGGGCCCCTTTTCGAGAACGAGAAAGGTCACCCACCTTCCCTTTCTGCAGGTGAAGGACCTGTGGAAGGAGGGGGGATGGGTTATGGATAGGTTATAGAGGATTCTGGGTACTGGAGCGTGCTTTAGTGACCAGGTGATAGATGAGATCCAGCAGATTCCCGTCTCGGAGGACGATTTTGACGGTATGAGGTAGAGACTTACATCTTCGGTTTGCATTCACTACGACCTCGGCTTAGGGGGAAGTATGGCTGGGTGATCGACCTAACCTTCTCTTCGGGGCCATCTGGACCGACCTACTTACCCCGACCATCTCTATTTTCCTCTAGCACCTCCTTTTGTGTCGCCTACCGATTGATACTGTGATGCAAGCGATGGGGTTCTCTTTCACCTCGCGTTGCCACTGTTTTGCTGAGACCGACGACTTTCTGACGGAGACCTTTATCCATTTGTTTTTTTGAGAGCAAGATTGTGAGAAGAGTGTTGGAGCATTATACCAGTTATACTCATATACACCTACCCTCCACAGATAATTTCATTGAGCTTCTGAGTTTTTTTCAGACACAACACACACGATAGACACGTGGGCATCCTTATTCATTGTCTGATCCTTTGGGCCACCTAGGCAGAAAGAAATAATGCGAAGCATAGCGATTTTGTTTTTTTGTGCTCCCATATTATTTTGCAGACTGACTGGCATCTCTCTCTCCTCAATGCTTTGGGCAGACTCACCCAGAGAGAATGGACATGCTGCACGCCACCTCATCACCTTGTACCGCCTCTATTGCCACCTGTCCAGCATCCACGCCCAGAGTTGTTGCTTGGCTGAAACCCGAGTCGCCTTGGGGGCATGATCAGGGATCATAGCGGCGCCCTTATTACTGATTTTCATGCCCCTCTTCGGGCCTCCTCGAGCAGTAACGCGGAGGTTCAGGCGCTTCATATTGATTTCAATAGATTGTCGCATCGATCTCATCTCACATTTGGCTAAAATTTTACGCTGTCGTTGTCATCACTCTCTTGACATCTAGCCATCAGGGTAGGTGGCAGATTAGCATCCTCTCATGCGTATTAGAGCCACACTTCAGTCGATTCGATTACGGATTTCGCACAGCTTCCGCGAGGGGAACCGACTTGCTGACTTCCTTGCTGGCATCGTGTCCTCCACCCCACAGAGGCGCATTCTCTACCCTGACGATATTCCACTCCACACTTCAGTCGATAAGCTTTTGTTTTTCTTTTGACTTGATGTATATTGAAAATTGGATTTGCAAATTTATGATTTTTCATCCCATTTAAGACATTTTTGTATACATGTTGGGGTTCAACCTTAACCGTCCACCCAGAATAAGTGGTGTTTAAAAAAAAAAAGAACAATTAATAACTCATATGATTACTACGTCTTAACAAATTAAGTTTGACCCTTCTTCCTCCAAGAAAACAAAAGAAAAGAAATAAAAAAACTAAGAAAAGGAAATTAAAGGAGAAAAATTTCAAAAGAGGTTGCTTGCTGTATATGATCACTAAATATATATTGGGACCAAAAAAATTAGCTTACCTAAGAGCAAGAGTCAACTCTAATGGGACCTCTTTCTTTATCATTATCATATTCATAATCATAAGACGTTTGGTCAATGATTAACCAATCAAATCAAATACGACCATATCTATATTTTAATTTGGAGCTTTGCCGTGATAAGGCGTTTTCCCTCCAAATCCAGTCATATGACGTCACTTCGTTTTTTTCTTTTTTATTTTTTTATTTTTTCTAATTCTCATGCCATTGCCAATTTGCTTATAATTCAATATTAATAAAATAGACATGCATCTTCTTAATGGTGCATGGCTTGTTAATTTTATATGACCAGCCAATTAAGACACACTAAGATCTTATGTTTATTCAAATCTTTGTCATTATCTACTGCCACCATGCAGATTAAAATATTGTATCTATGCATAAAGTCATTTTCTAAATCAATTCCCTACTATTTTTTTTTTTTTTTTATATATATATGTATATTACTTGATCTAACCAACAGTCTTCTAAAAACACAATCTGAAAGTCATGGTGTCTGATTTCCGTAAATTCACCCAAAATTATGGCTTTTTTTTAGTCTTAATTAATCAAGACTTGCAAATGTAATGAACCAAAGTCAATATATAATGAAGATCATAAAATAATTTTATAACAGGGGATTTTTTTTTTAATCTCCCAAACTAAGTCGATATTTAGAGTTTGCCGTACGAATTAGAAAATTGGTCATGTAAGATTTCAAATGACCTCTCAATCAAAAATCGAATATCTTGATTATCAGAAATCTCGAATTAAATTTTTTTTCTATTGCTCCTATAAAAGGAAAAGGGGGTGTCTATATGTACACCCCCTTGTGTGTAAAAAAGGGGTGTACATATAGCATTGCCCTTTGTGTAATTTATTAAAAAAGAGTGTACATATAGCATTGCCCTTTGTGTAATTTATTAAAAAAGGGTGTACATATAGCATTGCCCAAGGAAAATTGTCAAAGAAAAAAATCTGTAACTCTGAAAATCA